GGCTGTAAGGGACTAGGAACGCTGGTCAGGGCTGCCTACCCTGGGCAGTGGGAGCCCCAAGAAGCTTGTAAAACCCGGGTGACTCCAGGGAAAGCTGACGGCTGCATAGCGTAGGAAGCCACGCTTGCCAAGGGTCCAAAGAAGGCAAGGGCAACAGGACAGGGCAGTACAGATAGAAGGAATCAGTGACGTTTGAGGAGTCTGGGGTAAGAGGAAGGAGGCAGAGGGAACCAAGTGTATCTGGTTAGGGTACCGGTTGGGCATGGCTGGAAAACCTGAGCGGGAGAGGAGATGAGAGGACGAAGGGATCATCTGGAGGGCTTCATTGGCTTGAAAGCCTCTGGGAACTATATATGGGTTCAACACGTCACAGGTTTATTGAGCACCTACTACACAGGGTGCTGCACTGGTGAAGGACACGCAGCCCTGCTCTCAGGGAGCTCATGGTCTAGGTGGGGAGACGATGCCCAGACAGTAAAGTAAGAAGAATGAAGAAGGCTATGCCACAGAGTTAGGGGCCATGAGGGTCTGTGATGGAAGGAAACAGGAACCTACTTTAGATGGTGTGGTGGGGGAAGCCTCTCTGAGAGCTGAAGAATGATGAAATGAGCCCTGGTAAGAGCTGCGGACATGCCTTCCAGGCACACTATCAAGGCCTGGAGGCAGGTGGGGGCTGGTTGTGCTGGAGGAAGAGCTGGCAGCCACCCTGGCTGGAGCAGCACTCCCCTAGGAGCAGGCAGGATAGGACGAGGTGAGAAATAGGCAGGGGCCAGGTTGTACGGCACCTCCCACCCCACACCCCTACTCACCTAGGCCACAGCAGGGAGTCTGCTTTGGGTTTTGTTTTTTGGTGTTTTTTTCCTAAATCCCATGAGAAGCCATTGAGGGGCCGGCCCGGTGGCGCAGCAGTTAAGTTCGCATGTTCGGTGTCTAGGGTTCGCCGTTCGGATCCTGGGTGCGGACATGGCACCACTTGGCAAGCCATGCTGTTGTAGGCGTCCCACATATAAAGTAGAGGAAGATGGGCATGGATGTTAGCTCAGGGCCAGTCTTCCTCAGCAAAAAGAGGAGGATTGGCAGTAGGTTAGCTCAGGGCTAATCTTCCTCAAAAAAAAAAAAAAAAAAAAAGAGAGAAGCCATTGAATGTAGAGAATGGATGGGGGTGGGGCCAAGTCAGAAGGCCAGATGATGGGCCAGGCTGGATGCACAAGTGGGCAGAACTGTGCCCTATTTTGAAGGTAAACTCAACAAAATTTGCTGATGGATCAGATGCAGATGAGTCGGGGTGACTCCCCGGTCCAGAGCAGCTGGGCGGATGGTGGACTCAGCTCTATTTTGCCTGAATTTCATTTGAATTGCCTATGAGCCCTCCAGGTTTGGGGGAGAGAGGTAAGTAGGCTGTGGCATGTTGAAGTCAGGAGCTCAGTGACAGGAGTCGTGAAACCTGACAGTCAGCTGCGGCTGGTAGAGAGCCATCGATCCAGGGGAAGATCCTGGGCTGGCTGACACTGAGAGCGATGTCAGAGGAGGACGTGGGTGCTGCTGAGGCGGTAGGGGCTGGGAAGAGAGCAGAGGCAGCCAGAGCAGTGTCATTGGAGTGATGGGGACAAAAGATGGGTATGAGTGGATGGGAGAGAAGCAGGGAGAGGGTGTGGAGACAGGAACAGAGATAACTCTTTGGAGAAATTTGCTCAGAAGTGCACCTGAGTAATTGAGTAGTACCTGGAGGGGGGAATTCAAGGGAGGGTTTAGCTTTTTTGTTTTTTAATAAGATAGTATAGAGTTATTTCTCACTCCAGATTCTAAAGTCTACAGGCATAAGTGGCATGCGGGGAAAACTGAGTTCAAAGTACTTTGGAAAGCCGTCAAGTGCCTTGTAGAACCCAGCGCTCATGGTTGTGTCCACAGTCCAATAAAGTCTGAGACCTCAAGTGAGGGAATGTGTGTGCCTGTGTCTGGGTCCCTAAACCGTCTGCCTGTGTAAGGACTTGGTGGGGCACAGGTGGGGCAACCTGGGGCACCTGTATTTGCCCTCAGCCTCTGATCCACAGAGGGCAGATGGAGGGTGGGAGGACTAAGGGAAATGGCTATTCACATTGCAGTAGGGGTGTGAGGGTCAGGGGCTCTCTCCAGGGGAACAGAACCCGCAGAGGCAGCGCATAAGGCTGCAGCCCGGAAGGGGTCAGCATCAGTTCCTCTGAGAGTCAGGTCCATAGACCACTAGCGGGGAGGCCTTGGCTGCAGGCTCCTGTTTCCTCAGTGAGCTAAGTGAGGTCCTCAGATGAGGGAGGAGGCTGCAGTAAGAGGAATGGGAGGCTGCCCCTCAATCCCCAGGGACATCCTGGTACGTGTGGGTTGGAAGGTCCAGGTATTTGGGAGCTACTGTTGACTGGAGAAGGCAGATGCAGAAGCCTAGACATTCCCAGTTGGGAGGGGCTGGGGCAAAATGAGTGACTTGTCAGGGGTCCAGCCCCTGCATCCCCCCTCCCGCAATCCTGCCTGGCTCCCTGGGCCGTCAGCCTGTCTGTTCTTCAGTCCCCCGTCAACCTCCCTCCCTCACCCCCTTGACTCTGGGAATCTGTGCTGTGGGCTGGGCGGTCCAGCTAGAGGGCGTCTAGAGAAAGTCCCAAGGGCGGAGTGGAGGGGTTGCCCAGGATGACCCCGTGTCTCTCCTCCCAGGCCCTGCTCAACCCGGCCAAAGAAGCATGAGGCCAGCCCCAAGTTAGTCGTCCAAGTCCCAAGTCCCGTAGGTATCTCCCACAGCGTCTCCTGTAGTAAGGAGCAGGGTGCTCAGGCTGTCCCCATGCCCAGGCCCTTCATTTGCCAAGAGGGGCGCCCCCATGGCTTCGCTCCTAATGTGCTCTTATCCTGCTGAGAGGGAAAACCGGGTCAGCCTCGCTCACCTAGTTTGTGCATTGAGCTCCCCCAACGCACCTGGAGCCCTTGGCGGCTGCAGGGCAGTCCCTCCGCAGAGGTGGGCTCACCCTCTGCCCCGCCCGCCCTCTCCCATGCCTGGGGGACAGTGGCCGAGGACTCCATCCCAGCCGGAGATGAGCGGGGAGAATCGCTGCTAGTCCTCCCGCTGGGAGCCAGAGTGTGGAGGGGATAGATGATTAACACTTTGTTGGGGGAGAGTTCCTGGGTCAATCCGGGGCCCGAAGGTTGTGGAATTATTTGCTGAACAGCCACCGAGGGTCAAGGCAGGAGTTCACCGCCGCACGCGCCCGCCTGCCGGCGCGCGCACCCACCACTGTCTCCCGCCGGCCGCCTTTCCCGCCTCTCTGTCTCCTCGCAGATGAGGCGCCAGAGAAGGCGCGTCCCGGAGCCGGGCTCCTGCGTTCCGGGAAGGAAAACCCGGCGGCGGGGCCATCTTGGGAAGGAAAGAAGCCATGAGCCAAGACCTTGACCCAAGAGAAGGCCGAGGGCGCGAAGAGGCCAGGGGAGAAACCGGCAGGCGCCCTGCGAGCAAACCCGACGCCGCCGACCGGGAGGGCGGCTGGCTCCGCGGGCCAGGGCGTAGCCCGGGGAATGCGCGCGAGCCCGTCTAGTTAGTCGGGGTGCGCTTCCTGGAGGAGGAGGAGGAGGCCGGAGCATCAGGATGAATGGAGGGGGCGGGGCAGCCGGCGGGCTTGGCCTGCGTAGGCCCCTTGCCGAGAGGACGGGGCGGGCGCCCACTGCACGCACGCATAAAGCCGCCGCCGGGGAAACCTTCCTCCGACCCGCCGCAGCTTCACAACTCCCTGGGTCCCCGGGCCCATCGAGCTTCTTCCCAGAAACTTCCCAGCCCCACCCAGTACCTAACCCGGCGACGCCTGGGCGGGCGCGCAGGCCCGAAGGAGCCCAGTCTACACGTTCTGGCTAAGTCACTGCTGGTTCCTAGGAGCAGCCCGCCCGGGGTTGACAGGAGCGCGGGTAAGGGCGCGGGGCGGGCAGACGGGACCCTGCCCTCGGCCACCCTCGTGCCGGGGCGGGGCGTGTGAGCGGCATTAGGACCCAGGCGCGGCGCGGGGGTGTGTCGCCGGCTCCCGCCGCTGGCCCGCCGGCGACTCCAAGCTTGAGGTCCCGAAGCACCGGGTGAGGAGCCCAGGCGTGCGCGCGTGTGTGCAGCCGTCCGGCAGCCCGTCGCCGGGGCTATGGCCGCGGCCACCAGGCGCATGTTCCATCTCCGGCCGTGCGGTGGGTTCCTGAGGCCGCGGGCGGGGCGGGGGCGCGGCGGGAAGGCCGTCCGGTCTCCGAGGCAAAGGCGTGCTAGGAGGGGACGCGGAGCCGTCGGGGCACGGGGAAGAACGCAGATGCCGCAGACCTTCAAGGCCCGCCGGCATGGTGGCCGAGAGGGTCGTGGGGGCTTCCCGGCGGGCGCGGGTGGGGGAACCCGGGGGTGAGTTTGGCCGCTAGCAAGTGGGAGTCCGGGTGGGTACGCAGTCGGTGGAGGGAGGCCCAGGGACGCCTTTGTGGGCACTGCGCGCTTGATCAATGCTCGGCTATAGCCATCTTTAAATCCTTAACAATTTTTGAGCCATTGAGGTAGCCGGTGGAGGAGTAGGGGCTTGGAAGTGGGCGAGGCGGAGCTGTGGGGTCCCCAACACCCCGCGCTGGGCTCTGCAGAGCCGGACACGCTGCCGCCTCGGAAAGCCCCGCTTTGCGTTCTGCCCGGACACCTTCCCGCCCCTGGCGCTGCGAGGAAGCCTCCCACTCTTAGGGGTCCCCGGACCTCAGACTGTCCCCTGCGCGGCCACAGCAGTCTCTCCCCCCTGGCTCTGACACCTGAGGGCCAGCCCTGGGTTTGTACGACTATTTGCTTGCACGTGGGGCGCGCGGGATGAGACTAGGGTGTGCACCATGCCCATTCTTTTCAGACCGTCGTCTCCCTCGTCCTTTGTCCATCCCTGCGGCCTCGGATACTAGCTTTACTGCCCACCCCCCCGCCCCCCTTCTGGATGCAGCCCAGGCTCCCGCCTCGCGCGTCCGTCCGTCCGCATCCTGCCCCCGACCCGCAGGGTCCCGAGTCTGGAGGCGCTTTCCTCTCGTGCACCGGCACCTCCTGTCGCTTCCTTCCGGGCACAGTGCGACACAAACAGCCGGACTATCCGGGGCCCGGCGCGGGGAGCGCGCACAGCGCCCCCCTCCCCCCGCATCTCCCTTGAGGACCAACGGCTCCGCCTCCTAAGAGGCGTGGGACGTGGGTGGCACAGGGTGGCGCCCAACGGAGGAGGCCGTTGCCGGGTCCTCCCCCGGTAACCCCGGGGGCGTGAGGCTGGGGGCGACTGCACGTGTGATGGGTGGCCCCAGGGACCTACGGGAGAGTGAAAGGCACGATGTTCCTCCTGGAAGAGGGCCCCAGCCCAGGTGCTGGGCTTGGCAGCTGAGCAGCGAGAGACGGAAGCCGCGGGCTACTACAGGGAGGGTGGAGGGACGGCCCCTTCCCTCCAGCACTGGCGGCCGGTGCGGAATTCTACAGCCACCGAATCAATCCTTCAGTACTTCACCGGGTACTGTTAATAACTCCGGGAGAAAACATGCTGAGAACGCCTCCCCTCCTGCGCCCTCTCCTGCCTGGGCAGCCCCTATCTGACAGGCTGAAGAAAACAGGCTTGGCTTCCTCCGACTCCTCAACGGGCCCCTCCCTAGTACTGTTCCCTGCTCCTTTTTCTCCCAGGTTGACCTGGTTGGGTCCCTGAAAAGGGTAAGAAGGAGTCAGCAGGGTTGGTGTGGAGTGGGACGCAGATGGACACGGGAGACTCTCCAGGGCTGGTCCATGGAGCTGGTGACAGTTCTTTGGCTTCCCTTGCAGAAGGATCTTCCGGCATGTCTCAGAATGGATACCTTGAGGATGCAGGTGAGTGCCTTTCAGGTGTGGGTGTGTGTCTGTAGAAAGCTTCTTGGTCAGAAGTCTCTAGGGGACCCAGTCCATCCACCTGGGGACCCACAGCATTGGCCACCTGTCTGTCGTCCTCTGCTGGTGCTGGGATGCTTTTGAATCCTCCCCTCCGGGAGGCTGTGATGTGATCAGAGGGGCAGCTGACACTGCTCTGGACACTGGCAGGTCTCTAGTGGTTCTCTGGTCCTGGGAAGGCAGGTTGCTCCCTCTCCTGACCTATGTGGACCATCTGGTGATTTCCCATGGTTCACTATTACAACGCCCTGCTTATCTTAGCAGCCTAGGCCAAGTGTTGTGGATACCCACATCCCTGAGTCCCTGCCCAGTTCTGTGAGGGAGGGGCTGCCATTGTCCCTCTAAAGAAATGTAACCTCTCTGTGCATCAGCTTTGCCTGCTGGCCCCAGTCTAGCTTGCCCCTCCACATGTCCCTGGGCTGGCTCCATGCTGCCTCTCCTCTGCCCAGACCAGGAGCTGGCCTGACCATCTGAGGGGTGTTTAGTGGGACAGTACTTGGACAGAGTGGTGATGTGCTCTTACCCAGGGACCCCAGGGCATGGAGACTGTGTGTTCCAGGCCGCTGACAGGCAGATTAGGTTTGTGGCTGGGCTATAGGATGGAAATGGGGACATGGCATCCCAGGAGCCTTGCAGGGGCTTGGTAGTGTCAGCTGGGCAGGTCCTAGGTAGAGCCCAGGGTAGAGGAGAAGGGGACAGGGTGAGGGCAGCACTGGAGAACAGTGGATGCTGGTGGGGGTGACAGAGGGGAGGCTGGGGCAGGTTGGGGCTGGGGGAACCAGGTAGTCTAAGCAAAGCAGGCCTAGAATGGGGAGGAAGGAGTTTTTCATGGACGTGAGCTCCATGACAAAAGTGAGAAGGACATCTCTTGACCTTATTAGGTCTTCCAGGGCTTTGGTTGCAGTGCAGACCTGGGGCAGGGGTCACTAGTCCATGGGCGCCTTGATGGGGGATGCCTAGTGCCTCCTGCCTAGAAAGAGCCCAGGCTGAGCACAGGACACTGGCCTGGGATGTGCAGAGGAAACCAGCGGGCGGGAGTGGAAGTGAGTCAGGGTGAGTCACTGCCTGGCAGGTGTAGGCGTGCTGCTGACCCTTCCCTGTCCCTGCACAGGTGTTTGTCAGGCATTGGTGGGGTCTGGCCTACAAGGGCCTCTTTCCTGGGAGCACCCACAAGTGGCAAGCCATAGGGGACCCATAGGACAGTCAGGAAGAAGTGCTGGCTGGGCCAAGAGTGAGGCAGGTCCCTAGGAAGACTTGCCAGAGGAGGAGGGGTCCATCAAGCCCTGAAGAAGGCCCTCCAGGAGGGAAGCCCTTGGCTCAGAGGACAGGAGCTGGCATGCCTGTGGTGCTGGCCAACTGACCAGAGGAGTGAGAGATCGAGGTGGGGAGTGGGGCAGGGCCCAAGGGGCCAGGGGTAGCAATGTTGGCTCAGACTAGGATTCCTGAGGCTGTAGGAAGCCCCGCCAGGAATCAGGGAAGATTGGAACATACGCATGTTACCAGGAAGCCTTCCTGTAGGAGTGGGGCCTGTGCTGTGGGGCAGTTATAGGAACTGAGAGGCAGACCAAGAGAAAGGGACAGCAGGGTCTGTGCTCTGGGAGTCCCAAGTCTCCATGACGGGAGTCCCAAGGCGCCACGACATACCCCTCCGTGGCTGGAAGCCCAAGATGAGGCCTCGTTCTGGGGGTCCCATCCCCTGTCAGTCCCTGGGTGTATTTTCCTGGTTCTCTTGCTTCCTGGGCCTTGTCTGATGTCTGGACCAGGTCTCTCAGCCGTGATACTTCGCCCCGCACACCCTCCCCATGACGAGGAGCTCTCAGACCCTGTGCCAATGAGGCAAGGAGATGTGCGGGTCCGGATATTGCAGTGTCTCTGGCTTCCCTTGGGTCCCATCTGGGGAGCCAGGAAGGTCTGGGTCTTATAACTTGGAGGTTCTGCGAGGGCAGGGGCCAGGCACCTTAACCATGTCGTTGTACCACATGCCTGGCCCAAAGTTTGTGGAATAAATATATTATCCTCTAGCTGAAGGATATGTGTGGGTCAGAACAGTGCAGGGCCCTGGTCCCTGCAGCTGAAGAATGCTGGAGAAAGTTGTCGGGTGGGGGCTGTGAGCCAGGTGCCGTCCTCTGAGTGGTGCTGGGCCAGGACTAGATATTCTGCCTCCCTGGGCCTGAGGCTTCTTGCTGGCCTAGGAGCCTCCCTCACCACTCACCTAGAGGGTGCTGCCTGGAACAGCCCAGGGGCCCCTGCTCCTTGGGCTTGGTGTCCCTCCCTCCAGTGTGTGGCACTGACGACCAAGCCCCCTTGGGGGGGTCTCTCTCGGTGGTGGTTGGGTCTCCAGGCTACCTCAAGTGTGACACTGATGATGCCTCTGAAACCCGTGAGGAGAGCCTAGGGGACGAGGCCTTCGACACGGTCAACTCCTCCATCGTGTCTGGCGAGAGCATCCGTTTTTTTGTCAACGTCAACCTCGAGGTGCAGCCCACCCAGGCTGGTATGGGGGTTGTAGCAGGGACAGGCTGCGGGGAGGGCAGGGGACTGGGGACTGGCCAGGAATGGCCCCCATCCACCAAGAGACCCCTGAAGAGGTAAGGCACCCTGAGCCCTCCCGCTTTTCTCTAGCCGAGAGTGAGTCACCTGGTGGCTGTGGACTTCTACACACCTCCCGCAAGGTGAGTGGCTTATCTGCAGGACAGGAGATATTTGGTCCTGGGCCACTAGACAGGGTGGAGGTGGCTGCTTCCCTGAGATAGCTCACACTGCTCCCCTCTCACACTAGCCAGAGGCCTGGCTGCTGGGGCCAGCCATGCTGGGTTGTCCCTCCCGGAATGGGGTGTTGATCCTAGTGGGCAGGGGCAGTCCGAGACCACCACAGAGGAGGGGCCCGGGCAGGGAAGTGCGTCTCACTCCTGGGCCTGTGTGGTTCTGTGCGTGGGGTCCCCATAGTACCTGAAGTTAAAGAACTTTGAGGAAGAGATCCGCGCGCACCGGGACCTAGACGGCTTCCTGGCACGGGCCAGCATCATCCTGAACGAGACGGCCACCTCACTGGACGACGTGCTGCGGGCCATGCTGTGCCGTTTAGCCCATGACCCCCACAATACTGAGCCTGACTGCAACTTGGACCTGCTCATGGCCATGCTCTTCACTGATGCCGGGGCCCCCACGGAGGGAAAGGGTAAGGCCCGTCTCCTTGTCTGGGTGGGGGAGGTCATGGAGGTGGGTTGGCCGACCTTCCTGTTCCCCTGCACCCTGTCCTTAGTCCATGTGCTGTCGGATACCATCCAAGGGGTCACTGCCACGGTCACAGGGGTGCAATACCAGCAGTCATGGCTCTGCATCATGTGAGTTGCCAGGCCACCACATTTGGCCTCCCCATGTGTCACACTGGAGCTAGGCATCCCGTGTCCCTGCAGAGGCTGGCCCACCCAGTTTGAGGGGAGAGGGTGGGAGCACTCCATCCCATTTGGTCTTTTTTCTCCCTAACGGAGGTCATGGGGGGTCAAAGTTGGGGGCTCTGGGTGCGGGGAGCCCCAGCTCCCAATGGTGGCAACTGTGTGCTGTGTGCCCTTTCCTGTCCCTGCCAGCTGTACCTCCAAGGCCCTACTGAAGCGGCACGTGTGCATTAGCCGCCTGGTTCGCCCGCAGAACTGGGGGGAGAATTCCTGTGAGGTGCGGTTCGTCATCCTGGTGCTGGCCCCACCCAAGATGGTGAGGAGGGGTCCTGGGGTGGCTCCGTTTCCTGGGGAGGAGGGTTCCAGGTTACCCTGCCCTCTTCTTGGGGGCATGTCTGCCATGTGCTGGAGGACCCCACAGTCCTGGCCTCTGAAGTCCTCATCCTCACCCTGTCCTTTCTTCTCTGCCCTACTGGATGCTTTATCTGAAGCATCCTTGTTAGGTGCTTATCAAGCCCTAATTTCCCCAGAAGTTGACCAGAAGGTTGTATTTCCTTCCCAACCGAAAAGAGATCCTTTAAAAATTATTATTACTCAGACATAGGGACCCTTCTTTGGCCTGCCCTGACCCTAATGCTTCTTCTAGTTGGCTGACTATGATTTGCTGGCCAAGGATCCCCACTCCTTCCTGGGTCATACACCGCCTGGTCAGGGGCATCTTACTTTTGTGGGGGCTGAAGCTGATACAATTTGGAGAGTCTTCTTTTAAGGAAATGGATTTAAAAATCATGAATAGAAAATGGCTAGGGCCCCTCTCCAGGCCTGGGAAGGGCCTTAACACTTAAGCTTCCATTAGCTTCTTGATGGTTCTGCCCCTGCCTCTGGCACAGACTCATGGCTTGGCATGGTCCCCTGCCCGGGCTTTCTCTAGGCAAAGGGGTGCTGAAGGAATGTCCTTCCCGGGGATTTTGTAGACATGCTGTGAGCCTCCCTGAATGTTACAGGGCCGGTAAGAGAGGCAGGGCATTTAGGGCAGTGGGCAGCTCGTGGTCAGAGGGAGTGACAGCTGGCAAGGTGGCCAGAACGGTGGAAGGGGAGCAGTATCCCGAGGCCTGAGTGGCTAGACTGGTGTGTTGGGACAGACCAACCAGCCTGACAGCTGGCTCCTCTGGGGGAGAAGGAGCCTGTTCTAAACCTAACAGAACAGCATAGTGTGTGTGGTACGGCCCCGGGACTATTGCTTAGGGCAGCACAAAAGGGCCGACACTGCTCCCAGGGGACCTAGGTTGGGGAGGTCAGACAGCTTGCCATGATGGAGGCTGGACACTGAGTTCATGGACACGGTTGACCTTGGCCAGGCGAGAGGGAGAAGCCCCAAGGGGCCTGGAACCCCTCTGAAAATCAGATAAACCAGCAGGTGAAATGTAGCTGGATAAACGTTTTTCTCCATCAATGTGATTTCCTTATCCACAGTTACACAGATTTGTATTCCTTAGGACAAGACTAATGCCTGAGTTTCTAAGAAAAAAACTAGATTGATGGCAGTTGTAGAGATGTGCTGAGTTGGTGGAATTGTGGCAGGGTCCACTAATGCCGGAACTTTGGGAAACAAAACCCGCCACCAGCCACAGACAGAGCGCCTGCGTGTGCTCGGGACATCCATGCACAGCAAGGGTGGGGCACGGTGCCCTCTGCACTACACGATTCTCCCATCCTGCACCCCCAGAAAAGCACCAAGACGGCGACCGAGGTGGGGCGCACGTTCGCCACCATGTTCTTGGACATCACCTTCCGCCAGAAGCTCCTGAAGACCCGCACGGAGGAAGAATTCAAGGAGGCCCTGGTACATCAGAGACAGCTGCTCACCGTGGTGAGCCAGTGTCCTACTGCCAGCACGAGGGGTTACCACGTGAGCTCCATCTGCACCCACAGAGCCTTGCAGGTACAGGGGCCAGGTGGGCCTGGGTGGGTGGCGAGGGGCACGGGCTGCAACACTAACAGGTACTCTCTCCTCTTCCCCAGCCCCCACAGCACAAGGACTTTCTCCCTGTGGGGAAGGGCATCTGGGAGGACATCGCCCGCAGGTTCCCCATGTACCCCCTCGACTTCACTGATGGTAAGTGGCCCCGTGGCCCCCCCAGAGCTCAGCCTGTGGCTCAGACCTCAGGACAACACATGTGCCTGTCCTAAATCCCCAGCATACCCTCTCTCCCGTCCTCCATTCCTAGGCATTATTGGGAAAAACAAGGCTGTGGGCAAATACATCACCACCACCCTGTTCCTCTACTTCGCCTGCCTTCTGCCTACGATCGCTTTTGGGTCCCTCAACGATGAGAACACAAACGGGGCCATTGGTGAGGGCCTGGAGGCTGATGGGGGTGTGCTGGGTGGGGCCCAGGACTTCCATGTCCATCTGACCTCCCCACTTCCTCAGATGTGCAGAAGACGGTGGCCGGGCAGAGCATTGGAGGCCTCTTGTACGCGCTCTTCTCCGGGCAGCCGCTGGTAGTGCTGCTGACAACCGCGCCCCTGGCCCTCTACATCCACGGTGCAGTGGGGGCTGCGGTGGGGAGATGGTTCCTGAGGTCCCTGGCCCCAGTTCAGCCCTGACTGCCCACCCCTGTCCCGCTGCCTGCAGTGATTCGTGGCATCTGTGACGACTACGATCTGGACTTCAACACCTTCTATGCGTGGACGGGCCTGTGGAACAGTTTCTTCCTTGCGCTTTATGCTCTCTTCAACCTTAGCCTGGTCATGAGTCTCTTCAAGAGGTGACAGGGCCTTCCCTGAGCTGCTGGGACCCTCAAGCAGGAGGGAGACCAAGGCCAGGGATCTGGGTCAGCCTGCATGCCAGTCTATGAGGCCCTGTAGCCCTAGAGTGGATGGGGTGCCCCTACCGTATCACTGCCTCACAGGGAAAGCCTGGGACCCTGGTCTTCTTTGTGGCAGGAGGAGGCAGGTGGCCGTGCCGAGGCTCAGGGAAGCCTCCCCTGCCACACAACTCACCCCCATCTTATGAGGCATATCACCCCCCTGGCAGGTCGACGGAGGAGATCATTGCCTTGTTCATTTCCATCACATTCGTGCTGGATGCTGTCAAGGGCATGGTCAAAAGTGAGTGCACCTGAGGCAGGGAGACCTGAGTTGAGATGGGGGCTACAGGCTGTGGCTGGGCAGCGAAGAAGCATACAAGCTAAGGTTGCTGCCATGGTCCACAGTACTCTGGGGAGCTGTAACTACCAGACAGCAGCAGCCCCATGTGCTGGACAGTGACAGGACTGCCCCAGGCAGGATCAGAGGCAATGGGCCAGGTGTGATGTGCTGTCAGAGATGGAGCAGAGGGACAATGGCAGGGTGTGGGGTTGGTAGTTGGACGGGCAGGTTGATAGGGTCCTGGCTGACAGAGAAAGCCAGCTCCCTGCTACGCCCCCCACTCCTCCCCCTAGAAGCCCTTTCTCCCCTCAGGGCCCCTCCACCCCACATCCAGTGGGAAGCTGGGCCCCAGAGCCCAGATGGCTGAGGCCTGTTGGCCTGTATCCATAGTCTTCCAGAAGTACTACAATGGCCACAACCTTGGGAACTACTACGCAGATAGCCCTTCCTTGGTGAGCCTGCTAGGTGTCAACACCAGCCTCCACACTGCCCTCAACACCAGCCTCCTGTCCAGCCCGCCAGAGCTGACCTCTGTGGACACCCGTGCTACCGAGCACCCAAGCCGGGAGACCGCCGTGCTCAGCCTCCTTATCATGCTGGGCACGCTCTGGCTGAGCTACACCCTCTACCAGTTCAAGAAGAGGTGAGGGGGGCCTAGGGGTGAGGGGAAGGGGGCATGTCCCCAGGCCACACTGATACACCTGCCTGCATCCCCAGCCCCTACCTGCACCCCTGCATGCGTGAGATCCTGTCAGACTGTGCCCTGCCCATCTCAGTGCTCACCTTCTCCCTCATCTGCTCCTATGGCTTCCGAGAAATTAAGAGTGAGTTGGGACCGGGCTGGGGATGGGTGGGGTTGCTTCTGAGGAGCTGCAGGCTTGACAGGGGCCTGTACTCTGCTGCAGTGAGCAAGTTCCGCTACAACCCCAGCGAGAGCCTGTTTGAGATAGCCGAGATGCACTCGCTGTCCCTCAGGGCCATCGGCAGCGCTATGGGCCTCGGCTTCCTGCTGTCCATGCTCTTCTTCATCGAGCAGAACCTAGTGGCTGCCTTGGCTAATGCACCAGAGAACAGGTTTGCAGGGCTGGGTAGGGAGGGGTGAGTTTGTGCTAAACCTCCAAGGGGACAGTGGGGCTCCGTCCACATGTGCCCCTGTCTGCTGCAGGCTGGTGAAGGGCACTGCCTACCACTGGGACCTCCTGCTGGTCGCCATCATCAACACTGGGCTGTCTCTGTTTGGGATGCCCTGGATCCACGCTGCCTACCCCCACTCCCCGTTGCACGTGCGGGCACTGGCTTTGGTGGAAGAGCGTGTGGAGAATGGGCACATTTATGAGACGTGAGTGTCCGCGTAGCCCCTGAGGCAAGAGTCATGTGGACCCTGAGGTGGGGGTAGCCCCGGGCCACATGTGACCTAGGGAGGGGTGTGGCTCAGGGGACAAGGGCCCAGAAGTAACCTAACCCAGGAACTATGTGTGACCTGAGGTGGGACGTGGCCCCATGGACCAGGGCCAGAGGTGATCGTGCTCTGGGCCCACGCAGGATTGTGAATGTGAAGGAGACACGGCTGACCACCCTCGGCGCCAGTGTCCTGGTGGGCTTCTCCCTCCTGCTGCTGCCCTTCCCGCTGCAGTGGATCCCCAAGCCTGTGCTCTACGGGCTCTTCCTCTATATCGCGCTCACCTCCATTGACGGCAACCAGCTCTTCGAGCGCATGGCCCTGCTGCTCAAGGACCAGGTGAGGCCCCGACAGCAAGGGGTGTGGGTGGGGGATATGGCTCCAGATCTGCCCACACCTGGTCCCTGCCGCCCACAGACCTCGTACCCACCCACCCACTACATCCGGAGGGTGCCCCAGCGGAAGATCCACTACTTCACAGGCCTGCAGGTCCTGCAGCTGCTGCTGCTCTGTGCCTTTGGCATGAGCACCCTGCCCTACATGAAGATGATCTTTCCCCTCATCATGATTGCCATGATCCCCATCCGGTACGGGAGGGCGGACAGCGGGCAGGAGGGGCCCGGCTAGGTGGGAGAGTGGGTGGGCTGGGGTGGGGTGGGTGTCCTCTGCCTTCTCTCTGACCCGACGCCTGTCTTCCTCGTGTTCCCCCTCCCTTGCAGCTACAACCTGCTGCCCCGAATCATTGAAGCCAAATACTTGGATGCCATGGACGCAGAGCACTGAGGCCCTGACTGGCAGGCCCTGGCCACACCCTGTTCACCCTTTGCCCCTAGGTCCTCCCAGCTGGCTCTGTGGCTGTGGATGGGGAGGTGTGGGTGTCTTTTGGGGTGTTGCTCTGTGCTGCACCCCCTCACAGCTGGCCCAACAGGCCTAGGGGGTCTGGGAATTGTGGGGGTTCTGTGGTGTGTGCCCACCTCTCTCCCTTTAGCCTTTTGCTTTGGGTCAAGAACACTGCTCAGGGCAGCTTCTGCCCAGGGTGGGACTAAGCAGGACGGATTTTCTTTTGATAAAAGAGTCAGATGCCTGAAAGAGAAGCCATTTCCTTGATTGTGTAAGGAACTCGGTGTATGCACATTAGAGAATAAAGCTCCTGTTTCTATGCTTCTATGTGCCACCTCCATCCCTGCTGCCCCGCCCAACCCTAGCTTCTGAAGGCCACCTGAGGGCCCTGGAGAGGGGGAGACCCTCCTAGGGGAAGTGGAAAGGGACCAATTTTTGTTGCGTGCCACCTGTGGGCTGTCACTTACAACCCCATACAGTGAACGTTGGCCCAACAGGGAAACGTGGAAGCCCCAGGAGGCCTCTGCACTGCCATGCTGCCAGGACCCTGCAGGGGAAGTGCACTGGGAACAGCATGTGCAAGGGTCCTGAGAGGACTTGGGGCCAGGGAAGAGCCACGGCTGGTGAAGAGATCAACAGGGCTGACAGTGACGGGCCTTGACTCCGAGGCAACTACAGAGCAGCCGGACAGATTCAGGCGCATGTAGGTCAGAGCAGCATTTTTTTTTTTTTTCCTTTTTCTCCCCAAAGCCCCGCGGTACATAGTTGTATATTCTTCGTTGTGGGTCCTTCTAGTTGTGGCATGTGGGACGCTGCCTCAGCGTGGTTTGATGAGCAGTGCCATGTCCGCGCCCAGGATTCGAACCAACGAAACCCTGGGCCGCCTGCAGTGGAGCGCGCGAACTTAACCACTCGGCCACGGGGCCAGCCCCAGAGCAGCAGTTTTGAACTATCCTGTCTGTTGGGTGAATCCTAGATTTTATATGTAGTGGGCTTGGGGTGGGGCAGGGGCTGCACCATGCACCAGGCTGGTGACAGTGGGGATGGAGGGGAGTGGAAGAATCTAGATGGCAGGACATTGGGATTGGTTTGATGGCATGGAGGTGGCATGTTTCTGGCTTGGTCATTTGGTAGTTGGCCAGGCTCCATGACAGTGGCAGCAGGGAATAGAGATCTGGGGCTCAGGGGAGCACCCATGTGTACCAGGGAGCAGCAGCCTTGGGAGACGGAGTACCTAGCTCACAGACACCCCATCATATCCCCTTACAGGACTTTGGTTTGACAAATACACCACAGACTAAGGGAGCAGATGAGAGAAGATATCTGCTACATCTCAAACCAAAAAGGAACTAATATCTTGATACACAAAGAATTACTGCAGATTAACAAAGAGACAGTGACTCCAATAGAAAAGACGCAAAGGCTGAGAAGAGGCGGGAGAGGGAGGCAAAAACAATAGCAGGAGTGACAGGAGATACTCAAACCCCTTGGTTACCTGAGAAATGCAACCCTGCAGTGAGACGGCACCTTCCATTTTGCAGACTGGCAAAACTCAGTCTACCAATGCTGGCTGGACGGCAGAGTGGCGATATGGGAGCCCTCGTGCACTGATGGGGGGAGTGGAGACGGGGGCGCAATGAAGACACCTCACCCTTCCCCCGAGCAGTTCTCCTGGGCAGGCAGAGTTGGGTACATTCTGTGCTGTTTGTGGGGATGGGCAGCTAAAAGTTTAAGAAGGGAGACAGGAAGTGTACTGTGGGCCCAGGATAGCACTCTAGCGAAGGAGCCAAGCAGCAAACGGAGGAATGCCCTGCCCCAAGCCCCACGGACCCACCGCGCCCTTGTGGCATGCAGTCCTTCTTTGGGGCCCCCTTCCCAGTAGCCTGAGTGTTCCCTGCAGGTGGCAGCGTATCCAGAATCAACAGGCAAGCAGCAGGCAGGCCCCCAGCACCCCACGTCTGATCCCCAGCCAGACATCACCCACCACCAAGGAGACAACTCAGAGGTGGCTGCGCTCGGCCACCGGCATTTCCTGGGGAAACAACCCAGCTGGGCCTCGCAGGCAAGAGAGGGGCAAAGGAATGAAGTTCTGTCCTCACCCACGCGCTCTGACGCAGTTTAGGGGAGGAAACAACAGTCAAACCCAGGCCCTGAGCCATGTTGCCAGGACAAAGGAGCAGTGGCTGGAGGGGATGTTCTCCAGAGCTGCGTGTGAGTGCAGCAGCCTGGGAGTGACGCATCAGCACTGAGGACGCCCCCACCCCACCCCCGACCTGCTGTGCACAACAGGCTTTTCCGAATGTCCTCAGGGTTGGGCACCTTCTAATTACCAGAGAAACACTGGCAGGAAAGGCAAGGGAGCTGCCCCGGGTCCCCAAAGTCCCTCCCAGGGAACAGCTTCACCAGGGCATAGTGAGGGTCTGGGGCAGCTGAGCTGGGCCTCCTGAGGGGCTGGGAGGCCCCAGGCTGAACCACAGCATGACAACCCAACTGAGGTCAAGGACTCTATCCCCTCTATCATAAAAATGAACTTGGGGGGCCGGCCCCGTGGCTGAGTGGTTGAGTTCGCACGCTCCACTTCAGCGGCCCAGGGTTTCCATGGTTCAGATCCCTGGCACCGCCTGTCAGGCCACGCTGAGGTGGCATCCCACATGGCACAACCAGAGGGACTCACAACTAGAATATACAACTATGTACTGGGGGGCTTTGGGGAGAAGAAGGAGAAAAAAAAAAAGATTGGCAACAGATGTTAACTCAGGTGCCAATCTTTAAAAAAAAAAAAGGAACTTGGCATTATAATCAGAAGCCAACATTGTAGCTGCTCTCACGTATACTGGAATAAAGCCAAAGCGCTCAACATCACACACTGCCCGCCCCCCAACCTAGGGAACATCATGGAGGCCAGCTGGGCAGTGGCATCACTCGCTGGCTGGGTGGACAGCACAGATCTGGCATGGAAAAGGTCAGCCCACGACCTGACACTTGAAGAATAAAGGAAAGAGGATGTAATATTCCAGCTAGCAAGGGCACGCAAACACCCTCACCACAGCGCTGCCCATGTCCCGCCCCAGCCCTCCTCCCCGACCTGAGAGGCTTCCTGTTCCTGCCAAAGGGGACTCAGCAGACAGACACCTGCCCAGGGCCGGTTTCGAAGCAGACATATCCAGTTTATTTGGAAGCCAGTGCCTTCCAGAACTTTTATCTGCTGCATTTAAAAAACACGTAACGCTGTTTGTGTGGTTCTTCCCAAACCCGCAATCCCACCCAGACCAGTTCTAACATCCAAGGTCCTTTCAGGATCCCAGGCCTGGAGGCTGTAGGAGAAACCACTGAATCCCCAAGGGCAAGAGAATGGTGTCCCTTGGCCAAAGTTTCTCTGAGCAGAGCCAGCTGCTCCTCCAGATACGGCTGGTGAGGCTGTCTCAACACCCCCAGGAAGTGGGACCCTGAAGGAAGTACTTGGAGGGGTGCCAGCCTGATGGAGGAGGTTTCAGGCTAGCCCTCCCCGGACCCCTGGCCATCATCACTGTCCCCAGGGGGAGTCAGGCTGCCAAAGTATTTTTGCAGCTCGAGCAGGGCCCGGAAACGATGGGAGATGGTGTTCTTCTCAGCCTTGGGCATCTCTGCGTACCTAAGGGGCAACAGAGAAAAGGGAGCCCAGATTCAGGGAGGGTATGTACTCCCCACCCCCTCCTAGAGCCCAAAGCTCAAGGAGTCTCCAAGAAAGGAGAACAGGGCCACCAGCTCTTGGAGGCTAGAGTTAATTCTTTAGAAATCGGACAGGGTTTTAAATTCCCCTGTAGGTAGGAACCCGTATTAATGAGTGCGGAAGGATATTAAACTTGCTCTAGTGTGTCCAAAAATCGTTAAGGGAAGCTGGGGACAGGGGGATGAGCTGCGTGTTTGATCAGCTTTGTCATCTGTTGACAGGAAGCAGTGGGGCCTGACAGAACAAACACAGCAGTCTCCTCTAATGTGCTGGGGGGGAGTTTGGGGGGGGCAGTGTGGGACAGCTGGCCAGTGGCCCGTCTTCCACATCAGGACTCCAGTGAGGTGAGAATCCCACACTGCAGTTGTGGGCTTCAGATCTGTGCTGTCCAATATGTGGCGGCTAGCCATATGTGGTTATTTAAAGTTAAATCAATTGGGGCTGGCCCCGTGGCCGAGTGGTTAAGTTCGCGCGCTCTGCTGCAGGCGGCCCAGTGTTTCGTCGGTTCGAATCCTGGGCGCGGACATGGCACTGCTCGTCAGACCACGCTGAGGCAGCGTCCCACATGCCACAACTAGAGGAACCCACAACGAAGAATACACAACTATGTACCGGGGGGCTTTGGGGAGAAAAAGGAAAAAATAAAATCTTAAAAAAATAAAAATAAAAATAAAGTTAAATCAATTATAATTGAATAAAAATCACCTCAGTTCCTCAGTGGCCCTAGCCACATTTTAATTGCTCCACAGCCACATGTGGCTAGTGGCTACTGGATTGGACAGTGCACATATAGAACATTTGTGTCACCAAAGAGCATTCTTAGTGCACTTTCATGTTGTCCTCAGCCCCGTCTGGCTATTGTGAGGCCTCAAGCCACACTCCCCACAGGCCCTTCAAGCCTGGAAAACCTGACTCCTATAATGGCCAACGTGTCCTTTGTAAATAAGCGGGGGTAGGGAGGGTAATGTGGAATCCTGAGGACACCTGGAGGTTTAATGTAGTGCCCACCAAAGGCTGCAAAAGTGTTAACATTTTTCCAAACTAGATGGGGGAATCAGAAGACCATCCCACAAAACTGTCAGGTTTCTACATGACAAGCCAAGGTCAGAGAAGGGAAGCCACTGAAGTCACACAGCTGCTCTGCGGTGAGCTGGAGCCTGAGAGCCCAGGACTCCCAGCTACGCCCGGCTGCCCCCGCACCGTGAACCGGGCCACCCAGATTCCTTGCATCCACCCCAGCAGAGCTGCCTTTGGCTGGAATGGCACCCTCAGAGCTGCCCCCACCCATAGCTGCGTGCCTGCACTTGGGCGGGGCCCTGACCCAACCCAGATCACGGCTATCCCAACCCCATACCCCCAGAGGAAACTGGGGCTCCTTACGTCTGCTCGTATCCATCAGGCTGAAAGCAGGGATCCCAGCCAAAGTCCCGGCAGCCTCGGGGCACCACGATCCGGCCCTGCCAGAGGAAAGGGGGGACAGATGTGTCACTGGGTGTGGAGGAGACGCACTAGGAGGAGGGCAGTCGCCAGTTTTAGTTTGGTTAGTTCATGAATTTGGTTAAACCCTATTTACTCAAAATATATGGTTTCAAGGGGTCCACAGTGCCTGCAAACAT